TGTGTGTGTACAAGTGTGATTGTGTTTTGTGTGTGTGTGTGTGTGTGTGTGTGCTTGCGTGTACACACGTACACGTGGGTGTACACGTACATGTGGGTGTGTTTGTCTGTGTGGGTGTCTGTAGTAAATTTCTATATCTCGACGTTTGCTATATGGAAATTATCACCGTATTAGCCGTGAGTTTCATGAATGATCAAATATATACTCTTTCCTACCTCTTTTCAGCCAACAAGCAAATTGATCCATCCCCTCGTTCGAGAACGCCAAGCAATTATCACGCGCCAGGCTGAGTACCTGCATCACCAGTTTGCGATCCCTCAGCTCACCTCCGTCCCCTAGGTCTAGTAACTCCAGGATCGCAACTTCATCTACGCCCAGCGCGCTTAATCCACCGTTCGATGTATCGTTTGACATAATTTTAACCAGCTCTAGACCGTCTTTCAATGATTGTTTGTGACCCTTTAAACCAATCAGTGCGTTTGTGTATGTACGCCTACTTCTAGGGATGCCTGCACCTTGCATCTCATTTAAAACGCGCAGAGCACCCTTTATACCGTTCTGTGAGCTCTCAACAAGCATAAACTGCGAGTGCAACATGCTCTTGTCTGCTCCTCTTGCTATACATACCGCAAAAAGTTCCTTAGCTGAGGTGTAAAGATTTGCCTCACACACTATATGAAACAAGAATAGCTCGTGCTGCAATGAAATTGCCGACAGACCGCCTGCCCAAAACTTGTTGCGATGCTCTACTAGCTCTTGTGCATTCTGAGGAAGATACTCGGGTTGAAAGTTTGGCTTTATCTTGAGCCCTCTCTTGAGCTTTTCAAAGGCCACGAGCACTTTATTATATTCGGTGGCACGTTCAGACGCATCTCCCTTGAATGCTAGACTCGTTGGACTCGTTGGTTTTCCGTCCTTGAGCACAGAAGTAGAAGTTTCAGTGTATTTGCAGCGTCTTACATCGCGAGCTATCCGAGAGAGTACACAAGTATGTACACGTACATTAGACGAGATCTGGCTAGTGAAGTTTTGTATAGTATTCCGTTGACCGCTGAATCTCTTTGCGTGCCCACTCGAGTGCGTACTTGCAAAATCCCGCGCAACAGTGTTGGATAGGTCTGCCGACATACATATTGGTCCACTCCACCTCAAGTGGAGTGGACCTCTAACGCCATTACAACGGATTATTTTACCGATACCCAGCCCCAGCCATCGTCCTGATACATGTTGTCTCATCTTATGCCCGCAGAATGAACTTAGAAAGGCTCTACCATGATGTTAATGTTGGTTTGATGCACATTAAATATTTGCCTTTGGTTTTGTTGGATGATACGTGGAAGTTTTTTACAAAAATTCCCCCGAGATTTGTTACACAAAAAAGACAATGTTCACACTTCAAAGTCATGCTTATTCTGAGATATTCTGCTAATAGCAGCACGTGTGTTTACAACTGTCACGCTTTCAGTCGACTAGCATATCGAAACTCATAGGCAAAATGTAATACAATAGATACCTGCCTGATCTCTCCTGACATTTTTGAACACAGGCAGAATTATAAGTTGCAGAATTGTAAGTTTCAATTTGGGCCGCGGTGAACGTCTGCTATTGATGGTTATAATATCAGTGCATTTTAGTGAGCACGTACTATTCGAGCAGTTATTGACAACAGGGCCAAGCTGTGATAACAGCTTGAATACTTGTAATATCGTTTATTCATGTTGGCTAATTTATCACCAATTCCACTTGATTCATAAGCAAGTGCATGGGTATCTGCGGATCAATTCCCGAAACCTTGGCTTCCGCCTTTAGATTTTTCCCATCCTTCTTATCCTTCGTTTTCTTCTCTGTATCAGTCGGCGTCAGCGCCACGGTCTCTTCTATTGTAGGGCTCTCTTTTATTTCCTCTATTTCACCATTTGACGGACTATCGCAGTAATTTATGGATAGATTGCTCATATGCCTGTCGCCTAATATTCCACTTGCCATAGATTCCATAGACTGCGAATGCATTGGCCCAGACATGGGTGAACTTTGTCGCCGCCAACTTGAAATGCTCCCACTTCGAACACTCCCACTTCGAATACTCCCCGGGCTTATAGCGGGCTTTGACTTACCAAACCTACCCGAAGTTATGTTACCTAATGTGTGTTTCCAATTCTTTCCCTTCATGACAGGTTTGAAGGCATCATCCGTAGCTATTTTGTACATAAAGTCTCGATCGTTCACTTCTAATTGATCAAGCAACCCTACGATGTCGCTAAGTTTAGTCTTCCTCTCTGACTCCCGTAGAAGACTATATACCAGTTTGGCGTATTCTCTCACCCAAGCAGTTCTTGTGGCATTGGGGAACTTCTCTTCCGTCAGTAAACTCCCCAGAGTTTGTATAAGCGCCCTACCTCCTACAATATGCCCCAATAAACTCATACCAATCTCCTTACTCAATTTGTACAGAATTTTTTTCTTAGCATTGAGCTCGGGCACTGATTTCTTATCATTGTTCACCACTATAGAGAGGACCAGCCCTATATTCTTACTTTGCGATTCCGGTGATTTGTATACTTTTCTCAGGTCCGGCATCAATTTAAATAATTGCTTATAATAAGATGCTATAAAGTGAGATAAAGGATATTGTCCCTCCGGCAATTCCACTTTGGTGACTGCCAACCATGATTCTCTTACTAAGTCCAAGCCTTCGCACATATTGGCTTCAAGCATGGCGCTGAGCATTTCAGATTCCATAAACAAACCGACTTCGGTGCTTCCGATACTAAATCCACCCACACTCATATTATCATCCATGATGAATAAAGATTACTAGATGCGATTAAAACTATCGTTGTCCGCCTCGAAATTGACCCCCTTGAAACACCTAATAAATTGTCTAACAGTTGCGCACAATTTCGAAGTGTACGTCAGAGGCGCGCTTCGAAACTGAATCGCGAAATACTACTTGATTATGATTTTATATTTTTAATTTTTTAAATGTTGTGTTCAGATTGTGCCAATGTGGCCCATTCCGAAATTTGGTTTGTAATAAAAGTATAAAACAACCCAAAAATAAAAGTATATACACATATATCTCATTGCTTTTTTTGTGTTTATGTTTACTTTTTGAAACAAATAAAAATTAAAAATATCTATAAACCTATAGCTAGGGCATTGATGATTTGTTTTTGTTATTTGTTTTTGTTTTCAAAAAGACCTTTCTCATTTTCTCAGTGTACAGTATTTATTTCGCATTTTATATATAAACTGCAAGAATATTTTGTACTATTGAACAACACAAACCAAATTTTAGAACACCTAAACCCTAAAAAATATCTATGGACTCAAAACAACTTTTGTGACATGAAATAAAAAATGTAATTAATACTAATATTTATTTATTCAAAAACATGAATGAAATTATTTTGGGCGGGTTGTTTTTTTGTTTGTTTTTTAAACATATTATAACAAGCCATGCAATAAACCCCAAAAAGCCGTAATATAACTTATTTCACTCATATTTCATTTTTCATTTCATTTTTCAACGTCAAACAACTCAAAGGTTCCCCTGGCAAAAAAAGAAGTTATTTTTTTTTTAAACAAATTGAAATTTCATCATTGTTTTTATTTCAAAATTTTAACCCATTTCACATGAACTAAAAATTTAAATAAAAATAGAAAATTATTATCAGTGAAATTTCACTCAAAATTAGGGTGAAAAGTGAGAATCTAAATAGTTCAGATATCTATTTTTTAAATCATTACACAAGACTAAACTTCTAAAAATTTATTTTCTTTTAAAAAGGAAGCGAGAGAGAGTAACTATGTACTAAGGGCCCCAATAGCTGACCTGGTTTCAGACAGTGTTTTTTTGGTTTCCGACATGTTTACTATGTATTATACATCCCATACTTTCCGACATGTTCTTAACTATTGGTCGAAAATAGGTTTCCAACCAACATTTGGTGCGAGTAAGGTTTTGCATTTTGGACCAATAAAACCTAATCTATACTAAACCTTAGAAACCAAGGATATAACGATTTTAGTAAAACCCTAAAAATCCCCTAAAACAACCCCCTAAAACCCCTTGGTCTTATTTGATGGAAATTTGTTATTATAGTACTAAGTAAGGGTATATACATACTACGAAAATATATATACAGTATACAGTATATTACAGCAGTGAATAGTGCAGTATATATTGTTCACACAAAAATATTTGTTGACTTTCAGATTTTATTTACTGCCGCTAACCATAGTGATATGGCACTAACTGACACCACTGACAAACTGTCACACACACTGATGTCTAAAACCTCACATATACAGGTTTTAAACCGTTTAAACCCTCATAGGCTTCCGGCACGATATGGTCGGAAACTATGTATTAAACTACCAAAATCTTCAAATGTCGTTTACTAGTATTATACATCCATAACTTTCCGACATGTTTTTAACCTAAACCAGATCAGCCCATTAGCGGCTGGCTTCCGAAGTTCCGCCTTCCTGAATCCTGACTCTCTCTACTCTGGTGAGAGTACATAGGATTAGGCGGTGATTGTAGGCAGTAAGCGGGCAGTAGGCACTACTCTACTCTCTAGAGAATATTTAGAGGCACTATTAGAGTTTTTCTATATTTTATATATGCATATTTTTTTGCTGTTTTTGTTTTTCAAAATAACAAAATAATATATATTGTAAACAATCGGAGGACTCTTTTTTTTAAGACTCCCGCTACTATGCCTAACATTCTCGCACTGGCTGAACTGCCGCCAATTAAGACTCCCGCCAAATTATGCCTACCACTCTCAGTCTCTCACGGCAGGTCTCATAACGTAAAGCGTATTAACGTTTAAAATTATTTCGGAAACGTGAAAACGGGGTACGTTTACACTATGAGCCTTACGTCTATATATGCACACCCGTATATGAATTTTGGCTCAATATAGCATATTGAATTTACTTCATACCAAATTTTGTCTAAAATCTGGACTAGTGTCCAGGACTAGTACTCTAGTCCCTGACCAGTGACCACTAATCTAAAGAAGCAATCACATTTGCTAATAAAACACGGCTGGGACGCCTCGGGGACTGAAAGCGCTTAATATTAGGGGTGATTTACTTGCTTACATTCAGACATTCTGATTCGGGCCTATTGATTATTTTGTATATGGTATCAAACGGGCAAACCCCATTCCTGCCGGGAAAAAAAGGGTCACCGACGTTTTTCGCATTCATTAATAAAACATTAAAAAATAATACTCTAGTGGGGTCTACAAATGGGCAAAAAAATGTTTGGGCCTATTATTTATTCTGTATAGGGTCTCAGATGGGCAAAACCCATTCCAGCCGGAAAGAAAGGCATCACTGACGATTTTTGGACGGACAAAAAATCGGTGATAGAGTCAACAGGGACTTAGAAAAGCTTACGCTTTCAGTAATAAAGTCGACAGGGACTTAGAAAAGCTTATGCTTTCAGTAATAAAGCGCCGTCAAGTTGAAATCTCGGAAAGTTTTATTTACCCGCATATTCCTCTACTAAAATATATTAACCAACCTTAGTGAGATGGTCCGTCAGGCTGACTAGGTCAGAACAGACCACTATACAGAACGTAAAGATGCACGCAACAAGACGATACTCACTTGTGTCTACTACAAGAAAGAATCTAAATGGTCCAACGTGAGAACTCTTCGTGTGCATATCGGTTGAGGCAAGGACTGTACAGTTCCACCTACAATAAGAGCAAAGTATGTCAAAATACTAGCAAATGACGACGAAGCAGGACTGCACGACCAAAAGCGTGAAAAGGCTGTGATGGCGAACATAAAATCAAAACTTCAGCAAACTACTCTTGATGGTGCCAGAAAAGCATTTCGTTATGCAAAGTTTGACCCTGCGCATAGTGCGATTGCCAATTATGTCTACGATGGGATATTTAGCGCTAACAGTATTAAATCATCTTTATTTAATAATAATAAATCGGAGTTGTCACGGCTGCAGGAAAAACTTATGTTCTAATAGTTCCGAACAAAGTGATGGGTGAGAAGCTAGTAGAAACCGTCGTAGATGCGTATGCAGACTACGCGTTACACCGCGTTAAAGGCTGTTCTGCAGAATAACAAAGCTTTTTTAGCATTCGATGCGGTCACCATATGTATAAAGAACCGTGCTGGTGTTCGGCTAAGATATGTAGTGTCTTGAGATTACCTATTAAAACAAGAGTTGTCACTAGCAGTGCATAATTTATCAAATTTCAAGGCAGGTGGGCTAACAGAAGGCGCTCACGAACAAGCTGACCTTGTGTGTTTAGCACTGACGGATTTACCTCGTCATGAGGTAGATGTCGTACTTTACACTACGGATATGTACGGCCACTGTGGAGATATTGAAATGTCGCAGACCACATTTGAACCATTGCCCAAACCTCGAGCATGTTGCTAGCTCAGCGATAAAAAATGCTTGTGATAATATTGATGAATAGAGTACCTGGTTTAAACAGTTATCATCAGTATGTAAATATTTTAATGGTAGTAGTTTTCATATAACATCGTTAACAGAATCTACAGCTAAAATCAATAAGGGCATCTGGAGCCCTTTGGATTCATTTGCCAGAGGGTGCAATTCTAGGTTTGTGTATTCAGTGTTTAGAGGCATGCGCGTAATATTGCCCTAGTCGAAGTTTAAACCCCTTGCTTTTGCCTATAACAATATAGTGTTGGGTCCAGGTGAATGGTAGTCTTAGATGTACCACAAATATACGCGATAACATTCAGGTTTTAGGGTTTAGGGTTTAGGGTCAGAGGAGCCGCCTACCACAAACCTAGGTGCCTCTCTTGCCACAGAGGAGCCGCCTACCACAAACTTTGATGCCGCTTTTGCCGCAGAGAAGCCGCCTACCACAAATCTAGATGCCTCTCTTGCCACAGAGGAGCCGCCTACCACAAACCTAGGTGCCCCTCGTGCCACAGAGGAGCCGTCTACCACAAACCCAGTTGCCCCTCTTGCAACAGAGAAGCCGCCTACTACAAACTCAGGTGCCTCTCTTGCAACAGAGGAGCCGCGTACCACAAACTCAGGTGCCCCTCTTGCCACAAAGAAGCCGCCTACCGCCTTACCTGATAATTCTAATGCCTTAGAGGGCTTTGATGGTTTGTTATGTGACGAAGAACTAAACCTGGGATTCCTGGAGAATTCAGAACTTCCCAGAAAGAAGCTCAAAGAACCCACTGATATGGAACGTGAGACCGCATCGTGTGTACATCTGATAACTGGCCAATCAGCCACCGAGGATGACGCTGTTAGGGCGCGCCTGCTTGTGGGGGTTGTCAGACCCAGTCAGCCCAGGTACCGAACTATGATGGTTTTGGCCACGGAAAATGAGTAAGCAGTCAGAGGCTGAGGCCCCTGTCCTCATAGACCTGTGAACCCCTTGGATAAGTGTAATAATTATAACTGAGTATATAACCAAAATCCCTGACGGATTGGGCCCCCTTTTGCCGCCGTAAAAGTGGACTAATAACATTAGGTAAATAAACCTGTTCCAGTCAACTTTATTACTTTGGTTAAACTAGTCTTACTTCTGCTAGTGACTAGTCTGTCTGAAAAGAACATTTGTTTTAATCAAAAATATTTACATTACCTTGATTCATATAGGAGGATCCATATAAATATTATTATATTTTCATATGTCAACAAAAACATAGATATGTATCATGTATGTGCAAAAAATGAGTAGAATCAGAAACACTATAAATATCATGGGGACTCTTAAGACTCTGGCTGTTATGTCTGACACTTAAGCGCCCGGCTTTTAAGCGCCCAACTAAGACTCCCTTCGCTAAGCGCCCAACTAAGACTCCCGCTGATATGCGCCCCACTCTCGCCCCCCTCCAAGCTAAGCGCCCCACTCTCTCCCCTCGCCAAGTTATGCGCCACACTCTTGTACACGTCATACTATAAATAGCTAGTATGTTTTTATAGATGCGTTAGGAAGAGCGGGAAAGATGTAAGTAAAAAATAAATAAACAAATCAACGTGCATATAGACGAGCGTTCACGAAATTGATATAACGGTCACAAGAAATACTATTTTTTTCCTTAACATACTGCGTTTTAGTGACTTATGTCTTACAGGTTGAGTCGATAAATAATAATTGTTTCATACAATTCATAACATTCTCGTTTTTTAGACAAATATACTCAGTTCACGCCAATATGCTATTCTCGACTCCTACAAAAGAAATACTATTCTTTTTCGAGCATAGTACATGTGAAATAAGCTGTATTTGAGTCAGTAATATTTCAAATGTTTTGTTATCGAATATTGCTGCATTTATGAAATTATGGTTACATACAGCACACTTTACGGTGCGGGAGAGAAGAGAGCATCAATGGAGCCGTAACTGGTAACATTAAGGTATGCTGATATCCGCACGCCTGATTTCCGACCTAACAAATTCCTCATGATTGATCGTATCAGAAATATTGATACTGATATATTAATGCAGGCCCGGGGAGAAGAAGAAATTGAAAGCATGCATTCATGCATGCTCGCTTTGCACGCATGTGTACGTATGCATATATTGCATTCGTACACGCACGCATGCATTCACGGCTGCTTTCCGACCTAGCCGATTCCTCATGATTAATCGTATAAGAAATATTAATGCTGTTATATTAATGCAGGTTCAAGTAGAAGAAGAAATTAAAAGCATGCACGCGCACGCATGCATGCATGTATGCATGCTAATTATTTATTTTTGTTGAAACATTGACTTGTCATGCGTTTTGCTTGTTGACTAAACTACAGCATGTTGCTTGAAAGAAGTTTACTTTTATCCGGGTATCGCATTTACTCGGCCAGTAAAAACGATTGACGTTGTTTACTGCGTGCGAAGACTGCGACACGAACTAATGACTAATTGTCTACAACGAGCGAAGAGGATTTGCCTTCAATAACTGATAACTTTGTGAGTATTTTATTTTCTCTAGCAAGTACTCTACTCGCACGCCACATTATATATATATATATATATATATATATATATATATTTAGGGTTTTAGGGTTTATAGATATATAGATATATAGATATATAGATAAACAGATACATAGAGAAAGTATATATTAATAATAGCAACGGAAGTACAATGTAAGTATATGCTATGAATAGCAATGTGGGTATATATTAATAGCAATTTGAGTATATATTAATAGCAATTTAAGTATATATTAATATCAATGTCAGTATATAGTCATAGCAACGGAAGTATATATTAATAGGAATGCAAGTATACATTTATAGCAGTATAAGTATATAATAATAGGAATGTATATATATAATAATAGCCATGTACGTATATACTAATAGCAATGTAAATTTATATCAATAGCAATGTGAGTATATATTAATAGCAAAGTATATTTTATTGAAACATTTTAGCTGTTGGCCATAACAGCTACCGTACCTTTTTTCTTAGATATTCAATTTGTAAACTCAGATGCACTGGCCCAATAGTGCACTCCCTGATGTCTGAGGTTATCCATTGACCCAATTATTTTTAATAAGAAAGTGGTTTTAGAATTATTTGGATCGAAAATAGTATCCCAATTTTGTGATACATTTCTCACCTTGAGTGGTTATCATTTTAAGGTTTCTGTCACTTCTATTATTAGGGAGCCGATTGATTTGTAATTGAGGTATTTATTTATTCCAATCCTCACACGTTGACTTGGAAATTGAGTATCCCCTACGCTTGATATAAATGTATTTCACTCCTCTAATATGCCCATTCTCGCCGCACATCCCACATGTTCGACATTTCTCACCTTGAGTGGTTATCATTTCAAGGATTCTGTCACTTCTATTGTTAGGGAGCCGATTGATTTGTAATTGAGGTATTTATTTATCCCAATCCTCCCACGTTAACTTGGAAATTACGTATCCCCTACGCTTGATATAAATATATTTCACTCCTCTAATATGCCCATTCTCAGCGCACATCCCACATGTTTGAATCTTTTTACCAGGATATCTTGTCTGCACGTTCATCGACTCATCGACTTGCGACGATTGAGTCAGTTCATCGTACGTATGTCGGCCTTGTAATTGGGATAGTGAAGCCGGATTATGTGATGGAACGGCTTTGTGATCAGTATACTTTAGCTCATGGAACATACCGCTGTCAATACTGGTGTCCACTGCTATATATTCTGATTTTTTTTTTGTCCTGTACCTTGCCACGGCTCTCGCCCTCATCTACATTGCTACCGCTCTCGCCCTCATCTGCCTTGCTACCCCTCTGGCCCCCATCCTTTTTGCTACCTCTCTCACTCCTATCTGCCTTGCTACCCCTCTGACCCCCAACTGCCTTGCTACCGGTCTGCACCCACTCTGCCTTGCTACCGCTCTGGGGGCCTTTTTGCCTTGCCACGGCTCTTGCCCCTATCTGCCTGGCCATCCTCAAATCTCTTGCGCCATATTTTTTGGGATTTATCTAGTGTATAGCCCTCGTTATTGGAACTTGATTCGCCTTTGCCATTGGAATTTGATTCGCGTTCGCCATCTCCTGTATCAGTTCGGGGGTTTTTAGACTGATTTCGAGGTTCAGCTCCATGGTAACATTTGCTCGCTTGCCCTCATGGCTTTCTCGGTTTTGGTGAAGGGTCGGTGAACAGATTACACGGAGGTGCAGGTTCGTTTTTGTTCTTAGCGAAATAATACAGCAATACACGTCCCACTGCTGCCATCTTGTCATTACCATGTTCGGCATCGTTAATGTAAAAGTCGGTCTCCTCTAGGCTGACTATACGATACCAAGTTTACGTTAATAAGACAATACGTTAATACGTTAAAATGTAAAATGTTAAGTATGTTTAGCTTCAGCCCATGGTAATGAGCAAAAGATTAGAAAATTTTAGACTGAGACTATTGTCTATATTCTCCGCTCTAATCACTCACTACTTCGGTCTAGATTTATTTATGTTTTAGTTACTAAGACTAGATATCATTTCATTGGACGCATAGTTTACATTTCACGCCTCGAAACAATTACTTAATCAAACTAACCAATAAGATACCTCTAAGTCCAACTTAAGAAAATAAAAAGAAGATCAAAACACCAAGCTGGTGCAGTATACATCTGCACCTAAACCCCATCACTTGGTACCTAGCTCCCCATCCCATTTAAGGCATAGACGGGTACATCTAGTTGGCTGGCTAGGAGGAATCAAACCCATGTTGTCCTAAATTCTAACAACTCTGATCCTTAAGATCATTATCGAATTATACAATAGGTTTTTACCAACAACCATTTCATGCCTGAGACCCTCTCGCATGGTACTCCCATTAAATAGAAATTCCCGCTATGTTGATGATCTGATAATTGCGTCGGACGACTACGAGGAGCACATCGCTACGGTTCAAGAGGTCATTCGACGCCTGACGGAGAACAATTTCAAACTCAATCAGAAGAAATGTCACTTTGCTGTGCGAGAGGTGATGGTCCTGGGAAAGAAGATATCAGCTAAAAGCATTGAAACCCATGTTGTCCTAAATTCTAACAACTCTGATCCTTAAGATCATTATCGAATTATACAATAGGTTTTTACCAACAACCATTTCATGCCTGAGACCCTCTCGCATGGTACTCCCATTAAATAGAAATTCCCAAAGTGTCATTTTCAGGTGTCAGATTGGTGTCGTTCCTATATTATGTACAATTCTAATTTCAGTGGAACCCCCAATCTATATTTAGAAAACCACTTAATTGTCCACAGTAGAGTCCCATACTCTAATGAGTACTGTCACATGTTCAGAATCCTGAATTTCCCAGTTCTTGTTCATGTCCAATTCGCTAAACGTATTCCAGTACTATAAGTATAACCGTTATTATGTTTAAACGTTTATAATATACGTTACCTGTGCAACTACTATTAGGAACCCGCTATTTTTACATAGCCCTCCTTCAGCTTGAAAATTACAATGTTCGCTTATACGTGGTATTAGCACATAGACTCAAAAAGCTCACATGAGTTGTACAAGCGAAAAGAAAAGAAACGGGTTTCGATTATATAACGGCCTCAATGCTTATGTTATATTCTTTTAGACAACGTATACTTAAACGTTATAAGTTACTCGGTTACTCTATTACGTTATGGCTTTGGTGTAAGATTCGGTCTATCAAGGCGATATTAACGCCTTAGAGTAATTAAACGCGTAGGTAAAGTCAAAGTATCGTGAAATTCAAAGTAAATAAACGAAATGAGTCTTTTAGTAAAGTTAGGTATGCCTCGTGAAAACAGCAATACTCTGAGGGATTGTGAGGCTGAGACATTGCCTATATATAATCCTCTCAGTACTGTTTTCGCCGAAGGGATTTTATTTAGGGTTTCGTTGTCGCTCTATGAGAAACTAGGGTATGTTTCGTTGGGTCGAATCCGAGAGACTCATAAAATCCTATCTTTAGAAAAAACAAAAGAAAGAAAAAAGAAAAATACTCTTGATATCCTTAGTTATTACATTAAAGAAACCTATATTCGGTTGAGCCATCTCGCTACCGAAGTATTCAGATATAAATATGTTTGGAAAGTAAATATAGTCCTATTAATAGAACGGGCACAAGAAGAGCAGGTACCCGAAGGTTGGGAAGTCGGAACAGATTCGGATTGACAAAAACCCCCTGATGTGAACATGTGAATGTCCTTTGGTCGTACGGCAACAATACTATTTGCAGTATAAAAGATTTCCTACTGACAGCCGTGTATATGTTACTTTACATGCGAACGGACATGACATGCGCACCCTTATGGACACAGGGGCCAACCGTTCAGTCATCACTCAGGCATCGGCAGCTAAGGCACAACTTTCTATTACACCACCGACCAAGGATAGTTACATATATTTGGCGGACAAAGCCTTCCGGACTCCACGTTTGGGAAAAACACAAGCAACTAAGGTCCAGTACGGGTCAGTTACTACTGAGTATTGTACGTTTGAACTTATGAACCTACCGGATAACATTGATATGATACTGGGTATGGATATTATGGGAGAGTTGGGATTAGGTTTTAACCGGATTAGTATCTCCATTCCCAGAGATTAATCGTAATGTTATGGATGAACTACTGGAACCGATCAATCTTCAAATGGCCCCAGACCTGTCCGAGCCGGATGACGTACGAAAACCTTTACGCCAATACCTGGATGCTAATGATACAATTCTGGATGCGGCTCGCTGTACACTCCCGGGTAGTGAAGTGTCACTCACCATACCTCGAGATAAACTCTTGGGCTTACGGCGGCAGACAAGGACTTTGTATCTGATAAGTACAAACCACATGTAACGAAGCAAGTGCAGAAATGGGAACATGAATTGGTCACCAATCGTCGAACATCTGCGTCGATTGTTATCCTCCCATTGTTGGCAGTACCATCCTTCATACCGTCGGGAGAACTTATCAAAGGGCAGGTGTGCTTGGACCTACGGCAGATCAACGCTCTTATTCCGGGCGATCAATTTACGCTTCCGAAGGGTCACGAGATCATCAGCAACTTGAAGGGCAAGTGCTAGTATACCACGTTAGACTTATCGGCCGTATACCATCGTTTACCAGTGCACGTAGATTCGCAGCACATGTTTTCGTTTGCATGGCATAGTCAGTAATACTCGTTCACGTCGGCTCCCTTTGTTGAAATACAGCCTCCGGTCAGTCTAAAATATCAAGATCAAATGAGATAGCACATTTAGTTTTTTTCATATTTAAAATAATTTAATACAAGTTTTTTTTCTCCAACTTTTTCCAAAAGTGTTCTAAATTCACTTTGATGGCTCCAATAGCCTGAGTATTTGGTATGACTCATTTACTTGGATCTTTTTGAGACGATAGTAGATGTAGGATACTATAAACTAAATTTTATAATCTCTGAACTACTACTTACAGGTTTTGATCTTCCCGCCAATCTCCAAAATCCAATAAGTCTTTTTCTTTTTTTAACTTTTCTTCAGATGTAACTTTATTTATATTAGCTAATGTACTGACTTAACTTACGTTTTTATGTCTATCTACAAATTAGACATGTGGTCATGAACACTTAGTACTTCTAGTGAAAATTATTCAACAAAGAACAGCTAGAGGTACGTCCTGTGTGATCGAGGATATTAAGGCTCTTACCAAGAGGCAGTCCCGTTCATTCTTACACAAGCTACCACTGCTAAATCCTAACTGACTTAAATTGTATCTTAGTTTATATAACATAGTTTAAGACATAAATATCCATCGAAGTTTACATCTTTGGGTTGACGACACTCACGTCACAATTTCAACACACAATCAGCAATTTGATTACGAGACTGGACGTGCAATGCTATGTTGATGATCTGATAATTGCGTCGGACGACTACGAGGAGCACATCGCTACGGTTCAAGAGGTCATTCGACGCCTGACGGAGAACAATTTCAAACTCAATCAGAAGAAATGTCACTTTGCTGTGCGAGAGGTGATGGTCCTGGGAAAGAAGATATCAGCTAAAAGCATTGACGTGGATCATGGGTTCAATTCCACGGTGTCAAAGGGATATTGCTCCTGCGTTAGGATTGGCAAACTTCCTACATGAGCATTTACTAACTTTGCACATAAAGTGGCTCCACTCCGAACGTTTTCTAAACTTAAGCCAAAGGAGCCCATTGGGGATCGTTGGAAACCAGAACATCAATTGGCGTGGGATCAGATGAAGGAGGCTATCGTATCGGCAGTCCGGTTGACCTTTCCTGTTGATGGTGTACCACTTGAGTTGGAAACGAACGCAAGCGAGTATGGTATTGGCGGAGCATTGTTTTAATTGATTGACTAACGCAAACGTTACCTAATGTTCTTCCCAAAGATTCTCAACAAGGCACGACAGACATATGCAACCCAGATGAAAGAGCTATTAGCACTTACCTATGCGCTGGTTCACTTTCATGACTATCTCATTGGGCAGCGGTTTACTGAGCACACAGATTATAAGGCTCCCATATACATGAACACTCAGCTGAAATTGAATAGCATGTTGCAGCGGTGGCATCACATCATTGCACAGTATGTAGAGTCGTGTTCATGAGGGCACGGCGGATATCAACAACCCCGCGGTGTTCTATACATCATGTTGAAAGTTGTTTCCGGATTTCTTTGACCAGGTCCAGAAACATTCTGGGCCTAACGACGTCGACGCCTTTGCCTCGAGTCATAGCGCTCAGCTCCGCCAATACTGGTCGTACGACAAGGATGGAAGGACGTTTTAAGTCTGGAGCAAATAAAATGCATGGATGAACTCACCATGGCGCCTTAAACATAAGGTGTTGCGTAAGGTGTTGGAGGACAAGGCGTCTGCAACAGTATGTTTACCGTTGAACACACGTGCACCGTGATTCTCACTACTTCTGTCGATGATGCAAGCAGACTCGTTACTTATGCCACGTT